CAACATTAAACAACACTGAGTATCAACACGCGCCGCGCTATATGACGTCATCAGCATTCATCCTTCGATATCGTATACCTACCGCATTTTATAAAATTCGGCGCGTACGGCGCGTGCGGCGCGGACAAATGTGCGTTCAGCTTTAAACAACTACAAACAAAAAAGATATGAAACAACATCTTCCTGATAACAGCTCAAAATAACATAAAACAGTGGCTGCCAACCCGCTCCATAGGATCATTGACGTAACCTACCAGATACAGAAAGGTGCCAGAGGTACTCCTAAGATCGTCCATGTGGATAGACTGGCGCGTTATTATGGGGCCAATAATGCTCGAGACGAGGGGCAGTGTTGCGCGCCACTATTAATGTCTTGTACATGGCAACACTAGTTACTACTAGCGCCCTCTAGTAGCGAGTAGCAGAACTAGGATAGTCAAGATCCTTCTGGAAATTTCGGGACCGACATGTACTCGAACATTCTAGATGTCGCTACAGTAGAAGGTTCTGGAAACTATCTGAGGCCCTATATAAGGCCGGTATAGACCACGACCGTTTCTTATTAGTGTGGTTTTAAATTGTAATTAGTTTTCTGTAATTAAAGTGTCAATTTTGGTAATTCACTCGGCAGTTTTAGTTGTCTCGAACCCCAAGCTCGTAACAATATGAATCAACATCTTCTTGATAACATCTCAAAATAACATAAATCAGTTGTTGCCAACCTGCCCCATATCTATTGGAGCGCGGAATATCTGGGGAGGCCTATGTTCAGCAGTGAATTTTGGAGAGGATATAATAATCAAACAATAAAAAAATATTTTACAGCAGTATTGTTGAGTACTATTATTGAATACAATATATTGAAATAAATACAAATGTATAGGATACGTAGAGAGGATCCCGCTCAGGCGGAAATTGCGATCTCAATCCAATTCCTATAAATGTTTTCAGATATTCTTGTATTGAATTTGAAATGGCTTAGTTGAAAGCATATAAGCGGGAAGTACGGCATATGCACTTATTTCAGATCCACTCATGTCTGATTTCTATTTTAAAGAGGTTTCGTTCACTTTTACGATTATTTAGTTTTTAAAACTTATCTTTTAAATATTAATTCGCTAGCTAGTGGCGGGCTACGAGAATCCACCAAATAGTTTCTTAGCCTGTATCTGAAGTTTTATTTTTAATCGATGATAAACGTAGATGTCTATGAGCCACAGTATCCACTTACGATAAGGTACACCGTGTGCTCGTTTGTCACCCTATAAAAATCCGAAATGTTTTTTCCATTATCAAAATAATTATTTAAGTTTTTAAATTAATCGCAACGAAACCATTGTGGTTTTGTTTCATGAATAATAATAATAATTATACATAAAATATACATTTTACATAATTTAACAAGTTTTATGTCTTAATAACTCGTTACGTAACCTTTAATTCTATGAAATCCTGTTTAAAAATTTCACCTTTTAAAAGCTGTTTTACGAGCTTACACGTACTTCAGTAAATGGGAGCTATGTAAGAACCAAGCAGGCAATGCTGTAAAAAAGACACGATCTTCTCTTTTTTATACCAGAAACAAAAATTATTACTTCAATTTTTGTGACATTGTTTCGTACTATAAGTTTAATCTTTAGATCAATAATTGTCAAAAATATTGAATTGAACTAGTGTAGGGGCTTACGTTGCAATATTATAATACTATGTAACGGTTCGACGCCGGGCGGGCAGTTAGCCCCTCGCCTCGAACCTTATAGGTAGTTGTTACCGAGTAGAAATAAATGCAGTATAATTAGAAAATATACTTTGAGTCATTTATTACCTACACCTACAGACGACGATAAGGGCTAAATTACACTAGTTTTTACAGGTAGGACATCCGTAAACCCTAAAAACTATTTTCATTTAATGTGTAGTGTTCGTGTTAATATTAGTAACTAATCGTCCAAAATAGTCAAGGCTGTAAAACTGCAGTCGCCAACTAGCCTGCCAAGCGTGATAATGACAAAAATGAGGGATATTATAATATTATAACTATGAGGCTACCTATAAGAGAGGACAATGTTCAGCAGTGGGCTTTTGATATGAAGCAATGATAATAGAGACGTGAGAATGTGTAGGACACTGTTACATCGCTCCCAACAATTGTCGAGCGAATTAGTACTAAAGCGGAGAAAACTTTTAGAAAAACAACGTATATTCAACCTAGATGTCTCGCTGGGCACTGTGTTTAAAGTGCTGTCTGTCTGTCCGGGCTAATTTTCGGAATGGATGAACCGATTGTAACGAAACTAACTTCACAAAGGTATAGAAAGCAGTGCAAGAAGTTACCTAGGCTATATTAATTTTATCAGAGAAACTTGTTTTTCTTAGAAATCAAAAAATTTGTAAAATAAATGTTCCTTTACAACTCTTTTAAACTAGCGTTACCTATTGGGACTAAATGTAAATCTAAACTCGTCTAAAACGTCGTTATCTTAATTTGTTTTTCGTGATAACGAGGCTAGTCTTAAAGTTTGACGGTTACGTGCGAAGCGCTCGGCCGCGTGATAAACGCCTCTTATTGATTGTCTTTCGTGCTTTAAGTAACAAGAGCCCCTTTTGAGTTTTGAAACGCTAAGAATGTAATTGTAATGTAATTGTGCGCGTACACCGGGGCGAGTATAAGTATGAAAAAGGGTCGTTTTTCCTACGGCGTTATCTTCATTTGTTTTTCGTGATAACCAGGCTGATCTCATATAATTACTGTTGTAACCGTTTTGAGTATTGGTTGCGACCGCTGGCTTGGTTGCGCGCGACCGGTGTAAATTTTTTGACGGTCTAGAATTTGAGTAAATTGTGCGCGCCTAAGTTAATATAAAATATTTGGGTTTCGTGCAGACCGCCTCGAATTGATTTGTCTGATTTGTACGTTTCGTGACGGGAGGCTTGTATTGGGTTTGAATTATTAACTTAGCTTTGATTGACATTAATTTGATTCGACGAGTTGCTTTGTGGCATTTTAATATCTTACGAAAGAATTTGACTTGTTCGGGATAACGCTGAACTTTGTGACTCAAGAAGAGACCGCGTTCGTTCCCGTGTTTGTAATTCTGTGCTAAGTGAACCCGGAACATTGAATATTGATCTTTGACCTAATGTTCTTTAGTTGTGTCGAGTGTCACTTGTTTTAATTTCAATGATCGTTGATTTGGTTGACTTTGAAGCTAATTAAATTTACAATAAAGTTGATAAACTAATACAGTGAAATAAAAGCAGAGGTTTTCAATTGGTGATCGCCCCCCTTGAGAGATCTCACTTTTGGAGAGAAGCAGCGCTTGTGGATCTGCGGTCCGACTTCAAAGGTTAAGTCAGGTTACATTGTATACACTACTACACACTACTCACATGCACATCACTTGCCACCTGACTGGTACCCTGTGGTCAACCCTACCTCCGGAAATCGGTAAGTGGTGCTTGCTTATTTGTCAGCCGTTTTAGAACATTTATCCATAGGCCATTGGGCCCGAACCCTCGGCTGCTCGTCGAGGAGGCTACTATAGGCCCTAGCCAACGCGACCTTTGCCGGGGCAGCTGGGGGCCGTAACATTCATATTTGATATACCAACGATTAGAAACTACTTTTAATGAGAAAAATACGTTTATAATGATTTCTTATATTGACGTGAATACTGCACGTAAATAAGACTATATATTTAAAATAAACGTTTATATTCTTGAGGGATCGGAACAAAGATTAATATTTAGAAGTTGATGGCATCCTTCGTTAACTATTAAATCAGGACGTCAAACACCTCAATCTCCCCGTAACCATGGCTACTGTAAAACGCTCAATACGTAGGGAATTAAAAAGTTAAAATTATACGCGATAAAAATCCGTAAAATTAGTTTCTTTTAAAATATATTTATATAATATAAGCCGATCTGCTAGGCTCTATTTTTGCTTCCAACTCGACTCTAGATGATGGGGGAAAACACCGCCGACCATCCCGCAGTGTGAGTGTTCAATGCAGGAAGTGTTTCACGTGGTAGAGCCAAGCTGCAGCTATATTTCTGGTATAGTTGTAACACGAATGGGTCGGCTCGACCGGGAGAGGACCACGGTCTCACAAACTACCAGCGTAAAATAGCAGTTTAATGCTGCTATGTTTCGTATGATTAGTGTAGAGAACCGGAGACCCTTTTTACTGGAAACGAGGCATTCCATCTTAGTCCTCACGGGTGAAAACGCTTCTGCATTTTGATTCGCAATCTAGAATAAATGTAGATGTCTATGGGCCACAGCAACCACTTACCATCAGGTGGACTGTGTGCTCGTTTATCACCCTTATCCTATAAAAAAACATAGCGCTCGGTGCGTAAAGCAGTCCTCTCCCTGGACGTCAACAAGTCGAGTGGGCCTGATGGAGTCCCACCTATTGTTCTAATGACGTGTGCTCCGGAGTTGGCACCGGTTTTAACACATCTTTTCCGGTACTCCTACTCTTAGGCGTAGTCCTGAAGACTGGAAGACTGCTTTGGTGCACACGATCCTTAAAAAAGGCGACCGCTCAGATCCGTTCAACTACAGGCCTATCGCTATCACCTCCTTGTTCTCCAAAGTAATGGAAACCATTATTAACAGCCAACTCATGCGGTACCTTGAGGATCACCAGCTGATTAGCAGCTGACCGTCAGTACGGTTTCCGTTGAGGTCACCCAATAGGTGATCTTCTAGGTTACCTAACTCATAGGGAAGGCGTTGACCGTTAGTTTCGACATCGCAAAAGCCTTCGATCGGCTTTGGCACAAAGCGCTTCTTTCCAAAGTTCGTTCTGCGATATCTTGGGATTTGATTAAATGTGGTCTTCCCCGTAACGGCTTTAATGCCGGACTGAACGGTGACGTTACTGTAATTAACAAAATACCTTACACCTCCACCCTTAAATATCTACACAATTATATTGAAATGAACTTAATAACTAATTTTAAACTTATAATTTAACTATACCATTAATCTAACATTGGAATTTAATTACGGGTTTTCGGATTCGCCTGGAACGGGTCACTGGCCGCGACGGTGGCGGTGGTTGTTGAGGAGTGGCGGGGTCTGGTACAGTCTCGCTGGGACATTGCGTATCTGCTACGTGCTCGGTATCCACGTCATCTTTTCCAGCAGAAACCGTCACTTCCGTTTCCAACTCTGAAGACTCATCCTCATCCTTTTCATCGATCTCATTAGTGATATTTGGACAGGTAACATCGGATAGGCGCGACCTACGTCTTATTTGATCAATATGTCTTTTAATAAGTCGACCGTCACCATTGTCGAGAACGTATCTGCCAGAACCTTCTTTCTAGGCTACCGTGCCCTTGACCCATTTATATACTATATTAGATACCACGATAGTTAAAACAGTCCTGCTGTGACCCCTTTCCATCATCCCTTCCTATCCACCATCTTCCGGTACCCTTTTCAGTTCCCAACATAAATTAAACAAGGTGCACAGCAGGCTTGCAACCACACCCTCACCAGCCCTTAGCATTTCGAGTGATACTCTATCAAATCCGGCTGCCTTACCTGCTTTCATGCTTTTCATTGCTTTCATTATTTCATCTACACTTATCTCCCTACCTCTCTCCACTTCTTCCGGAATTTCTATTTCACTTACTTCAGACGACACTTCACTCTTAAACACGCTTTCAAAGTATTCCTTCCATCTCTTTAAATTCGAAACTTCATCATTCAGCATGCAGCCCTTCTCGTCTCGTATAGCATTCATTCTAGGCTCTTTTGAATTTCCCCTGGCAGTTCTTACGAGTTTCCAGAACATTTTAATATTTGCCTGGAAATAATCAGATATCCTTCTATCATTTTTATCCATCCTTTCTGGCTTTTTACTTTCAACAACTTCTTTTACTCTCTTATTTATTTGTCTAATATCTGCCTTTTTTCTTTCGATTTCATAATTCATACTGCCAGAATTACCAGCTTTGGTTGCTAGTAAATCTAGCCATGCTCTCTTCTTAGCTTCAACTTCCATCCGTACCTCATCATCCCACCACATCGTATTACTTTTCCTTCCATTCATTCTCTTACTTACACTACATATTTCGGTGGCTGCATCCACCAAAACTTTCTTAACATTATTCCATACAGTCTACAAGTCTAAATCACTCATACATAATTTTTTATAGGATAAGAGTGACAGACGAACACACAGTCCACCTGATGGTAAGTGGTCCCATTGACATCTACATCTATCTTCGATTACGAATCAAAATGCAAATGCGTCGTCACCCGTGAGGACTAAGATGGAATGCCTCGTTTCCATTGAAAGGGTATCTAGTTCTCTACATTCACCATACGAAACACAGCACCGTTAAGCTGCTATTTTACGCTGGTATTCTGTGAGAGCGTGGTCCTTCCCCGGTCAAGCCGACCCTTTCGTATCGGCATCGGGCTTATTTACGTCTGGTAATTGTTTAAAACCGCTAAATTCGTCTGTCAATTTGCAAGTATTTTAAAAATTACTCAATATATACGTGATTAAAATTTGAGATTGCCAAAAGGATATTTTTGAGAATTTAAAAAAAATATTTTTGGAGAGGTCTGTTAATACTTTATGACCGGCAAAGTCGTCTGGGATAATTTTTTTGATTATATAAAAACTAAATTAAAAGATAAAAAAAGAAATCAAGTTGCCAATAAACATGTTTTTGGATGTTTGTTGGCAAATGCTCGACCAGACTCGCGGGACTGGTATTGCCAAGTGACGAAATTAAATTTTTTCACAATTTAAACTTGCCAAAAGGACCTTCCCAAAATTCGTGGCCAGCTCTTAGACTATTTCCTTCGAAATAATACTTCGATGCTTTATTTGCGTTCACTGAGGACAACAAATCAATAAACACATTTTCGCATTTTTACTATTGGTACATTTTTTCTGCCCTTTCCGGTAGGTAGCGCTATGATTTTCACTTTGAAGTTACTCCAGACTTTTTACAGCGTAAACATATTTTTTTAGTAACTCCACCACACCGTTAGCTATCAGGCCCAGGTTTTGTGATTTACCTTTTTGGTACTTACCAATATATTTTGAAACTGATTTTTAACAGTGGTAGAGTCACGCGGCAGCTTTTGCTGTCGCACGGATGGCTCGAACCGGGGTGGTACCACGACCTCACAGAAAACCAGCGTGAAGTAGCGGTTTACCTCTTGCTTTCGCTTGATGAGTGCAGGTGGCCGGAGGCCCTTTTTACTGGAAATGAGGCATTCCATCTTAGTCCTCACGGGTGACAACGCTTCTACATTTTAATTTGTAATAGAGGATAGATTTAGATGTCTATAGGCCGCAGCAACCACTTACCATCAGGTGGACTATGTGCTCGTCTGTCACCCTTATCCTATAAAAAAAAAACCTGCATGAGATTTATTAAAGTGGCGAAGTTTTTGAAATATAGCCTACAGCCTAACCTATTCGCGTAGTTTCATCATAACCAGTTCAGTCGATTCAAAGATTAGCCAGAAAAAACAGACAAGACAAAATTTTTACAAACGGTAACTCATTTCTTAACGGCATGTAAATAACCTCCTCAGCTTTACAAGGTAGCTATTTAAATATTACAGAGAGACATTTTTTTATAATATGTACATAGATGTGTAGATAACGGTCACTTGACTAATGACAAATATGATTTTAAAAGTTTTCCTCCCAATAGCGTTAGCGTTACATATTTTTGTCCCAACGTAATTTGTATTCTTAGTTAAGTTCTTAGTCTTAGTTTAAAGGATATCAATTATTGCAATCTCTGCCTATATATAATAATGCCTAGCATGGATGTCTTGGAAAATATAATTTGTCCACCTGATGGTAAGTGGTTGCTGTGACCCATAGACATACATTTATCCTCAATAAAGAATCAAAATGCAGATGCATCGTCACCCGTGAGGACTAATATGGAATGCCTCTTTTCCAATAAAATGGGTCTCCGGTTCTCTATACTCACCATACGAAACACAGTAGTATCAAGCTGCCATTTTACGCTGGTATTCTGTGAGAGTGTGGTCCTTCCTCGGTCGAGACGACCCATTTGTGCTACAACTGTACTACTAATATAGCTGCAGCATGACTTTACCACGTAAAACATACATAACATAAACACTCAAGCCTATCACCCAGAAGAGTAGGCAGAGTACAACTCTCTCGCCTCCTTCATATCCTGCGCAAACATACTCATCGGTTGAGGGTACTGCTAACTGACCATCTTCAATATATCGCCAGTTTGGTAGATAAACTTCCATTAAGGGCGTCCCCTCCAGACTCTACCATTCACTTCTGCATGATGGCTGTCACTCTTTCTTCATTTATTCTTTTTCTTTTATTTTATGATTTGAACATAAATATTTATATCTTATTTTGAATGTTTACTTTCATTCGAAGCTCCTATTTTTGGCAACGTAGTATTCATTCTCGTGGTATTATTCAGGCTCAGAGCTGAAGAATAACACCTCAAAAACGGATAAAAATATCTGCCCGTAACCTTTCACAATTGGTGATTTTTTTTCGTCTTAGACGTAATTATTATTTAACTTACGTTTAAGTCGAAAATTAGAATTTTAAGCTTCACATCTGTATCTGAGTGACTACGTTTAAAAATTACCAACTTTATAGATCTGCGTGAAAATGTCTCTAAAAATGTCTGAGACACACAGTCAGATACCAAGATCATTCGATTTCCTTTTTATCATTTTAATACGAAATAATAAAATCATAAAAATCAATTGTTTATGACATTAGATGTTGTGTAATGCGTGCAATATAGTGATAGTCCGAAAGTCCAACTTCAAACGTTCGCTGAAATGCTGAAATCTTTTTTTTTTGTTTGGAAATACCTGCCTACCGCTGTTTCACTTTCATCGCTTATAGAGCAGGGCCATGGGAATGCTTTCGCACAGATCTTCAGCCCCACTCAGCCTTTGATAGTCCACAACTCCTCTCCCTAATTTTCTTTTCAGACAAGTGGCTCACCCCAGGTGTTTCCACCACCACCGCATTAGGACTGCATTGAAAGAGCGCGTGTGGCCCCTTGCCATGGCATTTGATGTCCCGGCCAAACTATTTTTGATATTTTACTTAAAAACATAATCAAATTCAAAACTTAAACTTCTTTAAATTGGTTATTGTTGAATTGCAGCTGTAGAGTTCTCATTCTTATCTTCACGCATAATCCCTGACGGGGTAGCCAGAGAGAACAGATCGCCAAGTGTCACGATCCTTACATACCTCTTTCGCTTCTTTCAAATTCATTATCTTCTTCATACATGCACGTCTAGGTATCCGAGTACTCTTGACCCTACCCTCTTCGAGCAATTTGCTCACATGGTCTTCGAAAGTTAGTCTCGGTCTACCTCGACACCTTTTAATATTAACTTTCGCGCTATATATTTTCTTCACCATTCGGTCTTCACTCATTCGCTCAACGTGCCCAAACCACCGAAGCACGCCCTTATCAATTTTTGTGATAAGGTCATCTTTCAAACCTGCCATATTGCGAATCTCTTCGTTCCGCTTTCGGTCGGCCATGGTAACGCCGCACATTTTACGAAGAGATCGCATCTCCACTGCATTCAACTTGCTTTTATGTTTCTTCTGGCATACCCAGGTTTCGCTACCACATAGCAAAGTCGGTACCAACACTGCGTTATGTATTGCAAGGCGTGCACTCGTCACTACGCCTTGCATTTTGACTACCGCAGTCAGGGCACCATTGACTTTGTTCCCGGCAGCGACACGCCTGTCCACATCTAAATCACATCTTCCATCCCGGCTATAAGCATTCCCCAAGTATACAATTTCATTTACCTGTTCTAGACATTCCTGATTTACCCATATTTCACACTTCGTTCTCTCTTCGTCCCTTTCAAATACCAGAAACTTAGTTTTATTAGCATTCAAACGGAGACCTTTAATTTCACATTCCTCTTTCATACACGTGACTAATGCCTGCAGTTCTGCCTCTGATGGTGCAATAAGCACTGCATCATCAGCATACAGCAGACAATTTACTTTTATGTCACCCAATTTCACACCCAAACAGCTATCTTTCAGCTTCGGTAAACAGCTGTCGAGATACAGTATGAACAGCCAGGAAGACATGACACAACCCTGTTTCACGCCCGTTTGGATGCTAAACATGGGTGACAGGTCATGCCCTACCCGCACACAGGCTTTACAGTCACAGTAAAGAGACTGCACAGCCCTTAGCAATCGACCATCCACACCATACCCCGGCAACAGTTCCCACATTTTCTTCCTTACAACCTTTTCAAATGGTTTCTCAAGATCCACAAAAGCACAGAAAATCTTCTGGTTAGCAGCTAGAAGCTTTTCCGTGATCATGTGGAGAGAAAACATTTGATCCGTGCATCCTCTTCCTAAAAAAATCTAAATCCGCATTGTGCCTCCCATAGAAATCTTTCCGATTTCTCTTGCATCCTACCTGTCAAAACCTTCGAGTAAACTTTACTTGCTAAACTGGTCCAGCTGATCGCCCGATAGCACCCGCAGTCAAAATGTGAAGCTTTACCTTTATATAAAGGCACAATGACTGCGGATCGCCAATCATCCGGGACATCCCCCGTCCGCCAGCACAAATTGCACAGCAGATGAAAGCTGTCCCAGACGCGAGGCTCACCATACTTGACCATTTAAGCAATAACTCTGTCTAGTCCCGCAGCCTTACCACATTTCAAACTTCGAATCGCACGTTCAATCTCTTTCATACTAATGACCTCAGTGTCATCTGTGAATAAGGTGATCACTACCATGTTGGTTCTTCAATCTCTTTCATACTGATGACCTCAGTGTCATCGAGGTCCGGGTCTGGCGTATCAGTCACGGCGTCATCCCCGGAACCCTCACTAAGATCATCACACGCATACATTTCTCTATAAAATTCGCTCCATCGCTGCATGACGTCCGATTTTTCTGAGAGGACGTCATTAGTTCTCGAAAGCACTTTGTTCATTCTTAAGGCCGTCGCACCACTTCGGGTCCTTCCAACCTCTTTCCAGAAGAGTTTGGAGTTCTCCTTAAAGTTGTGCGACAACCTTTCGTCCGCTTCCATTCTACACCTTTCACGCACTTCCTCAATCAATGCTTTCGTGTGAACTTTCTGCAGCCTATATCTTTCTTTCATCTTCACTCTCATATCTTTATCATTACTAGAGGCCAAGTAGTCTAACCATGCTTTCTTCTTCTTCTTTACAGCTTCTTTCACTTCATCATTCCACCATGCATCTCTTCTTTTACTACTGCCTCTTTTTATTGTTCCACACACTTCTTCCGCTGCACTTACCATTCCATCCCTAAGGTTCTGCCATGTTCTTTCTACACATTCTTTTCTGCCATCGATGGTGTCAAGCTTTTCGGCTACCCTCGCATGATATTTGTCCCTAGTATCCGCTTCCTGAAGCTTCCAGCTTCGGATGCGACAGACCGACTGTGGTTCTGTTACTGCCGTCCGGTAGCGCCAACCCGCGAACAGACCCCTAAATCTAGTAATCACTATATAGTGATCCGTTCCCAGGTCAGCACCCCTGAACACTCGCGTATCCATCACCTGTTTTCGCAGTCGGTCAACCACCAGGAACAAATCGATCATACTTCTCTCATTCTTTCGTTCTCTAGTATACATATGGATTTTCTTGTGATTAAACATAATGTTTGTCACAAGAAGACCCTTTTCCTTGAATACCGCCAGTATAAGCTTGCCAGCATTATTAACCCTTTTATCGCCAAACTTTCCAAGTACCGACTCGTACCCTGGTCGAGCGGTACCAACCCATCCATTCAAATCACCACATACAACAATTCTTTCGTTTCCCCTAGCCAAATCTAGAACTTCTCTTACATTCTCCCAAAACTCCTCCAGCTCAGCCCTAGACGACGAAGCTACCGGCGCATAAACAGCCAAAAGGAATAACTTCGTCAGTCCCAATTTAAAGCGAACCCAGAGAAGTCTTGAGTTCACAACCTTATATTCAGTCATAACATCGACCAACCGAGAAGACAGCAGCACCCCCACTCCTTGGCAGGCGTTCTCGCTCTCCGGGACTCCGGACCATAGAGCTAACGTCCCGCCAGGGAGCTCTTCAGTACCACTGCCCTTCCGTTTGGTCTCCGACATACACACGACATCTAATTCTCTTTCTTTCATTATTTCAATCAACTCATTCGTCTTATCTCTCATGCCTCCTCTAACATACCACGTGCCAACTCTGCACTCTGTCCTCCACCTTCCGCCGTGTCGGGCTGTGCGTGACGGGTGGCGGTCCCCATCGCCGCTTTACGCGCTGCATTCCACACCAACGGGGAAGAGCTGGTGTGCGTCGCCTTGGGGGGACGCCCTAACCCTCGTTGGCATGGATGCGCAGCTGAGTAGAATTGCAGCCCTGAAAAGGGCTGGCAGGGGTCGCGACGAGCACGCTTCTACAATGACCCACTAGAGTAGAGTTGTCAGAATCGTTAATATTTAATATTGCTTGAATTATCTACTCTTAAAGGTAAAGCCGTGTGTCCAGATTACATTTTTAATAAGAACACGTGAAAAACGTTCAGTCTTAAACCTCTCCGTTTCTCTCAGTACGAGACGCCCCTCGAATTTCTTGATATACTTTGTAAAAATCAATCTCGCTTAAAGGCTTTAGTATTTTATCTGATTTTTTTTTTTTTTTTTTTTTATAGGATAAGGGTGACAAACGAGCACACAGTCCACCTGATGGTAAGTGGTTGCTGCGGCCCATAGACATCTACATCTATCCTCTATTACAAATCAAAATGTAGATGCGTTGTCACCCGTGAGGACTAAGATGGAATGCCTCATTTCCAGTAAAAAGGGCCTCCGGCCACCTGCACTCGCCAAGCGAAACGCAGAGGTAAACCTCTACTTCACGCTGGTTTTCTGTGAGGTCGTGGTACCACCCCGGTTCGAGCCGGCCCATCCGTGCGACAGCAAAAGCTGTCGCGTGGCTCTACCACTGTTATTTGAAATTATTTGAAAATCTGATATTTGAAAGCCGACGCAAAGAGATTTTTCTAGAACTATTTTAATAAATTAGGTGTAAAATTACTTACAAATGAAACGTGATGCCATCCATAGCATCAGAGCTTCTATCTCAGTAGTTTTTACACGATAAAACACAACACTTCATCCTTTTTTTCTTATTACTACGAAAATACGCCGATTTGCGATTTCAACACATAAGCGCACAGGACGAATGCTGACAGTATACTAACTGAAGCCACGCCCACTATGTTGCAGTTGCTTATGCCGTCTCCTCTTTGTATTTGCTTCATGGTAACAACTATGGTAAATATCCTCACCCCATGAGAGAATATAGGGTGAAGGCCAGTTCTTTGTAATGAATGAATGCATAAAGGTTTTTTGTCAGTTGTCAACAATGAGGGTTAATAATCTTCCGCTCAACAGATGTCGCTAGTTAGGACTGAAATGATGTTTTGTACTTTGTTTTGTACACAAAGTCATTTAATTGAGAATCTAGTAACTAGATTATTTTTAAATAAAAATTTATTTGATTATGATTCTAGAGTTTTGTACACAAAACAATGTCAAAGTGGATTGCGCTTTAATTTGTTCATTTTAATAAATTTTTCTATTTTTAGGAATATCCGTAGTATTGTTTATTCATTTCTAATCAAATTTATATGAAATTTATGTAATATAACGGAAATAAATATTAACTCTAGCAAATTAACTTCCCCACTATGAAACCTGTCAAATATTTCAACTCATTCCAAAGTGGCTCTGGTGGTAGAAAAAGTCGTGGGTATACAGGACATTGTGGTCTTGTGATATCTAGTGAAAACATGAGATTAATTCAATTATTGTGATTGCCGTAACACGGAGATACGGTTTTGGGCAACAAATAGGTTTACAGGTAGCAAGGAAACGCGCTACGTGACCGGCATGCGCATCAACATTCAATGCCACACAATATTCGACCTCACTATTTTTTTATTAATAAATTAATAATAGGTACGGCAAATTATTAATAACTTACAAATATAAGTAAAGTATGATATCATCCCGCGGGTGTGGCAAGAGGCGACAGAGAGAAACTGAAAGAGGAGATGGGCAGTAGCTTCTTCCTGATTATAACTCAAAAAAGTAAAAAGGTTCCAAGCCGCTTGCCAAGCGTAGCAACTGTGGCAGAACCCATAAGACAATCTTTTGGGGATGCCTATGTTCTGTAGTGGACTTTCATAGGCTGCCATGGAGAAATGGTTGGATAAGGAAAGTAACAGACTATATACATTCCACGGCTGTGTATAGGCTTCCAGTCATCTGTATGAGGGTAGGGAAGATTCCACCTCGCTGCTCCATGCCTGTTGACAGGTTTCACACATAAGCAAAATATTTTTATAGTCAGTCATTTTAATATCCTAGACACACAGGCATCGTCACAATATTATCTATTACCGCGGAGTTTTTTTTTTTTTAGTAATAAAGGTGACAAATGAGCACAAGAGCCCTGCTGTTGAGAGCTGTGGTTCGTAGTCACCTACATCTATTTTTCATTATAATCAAAATGTATATGTACGTAGTTCTTTGTCACCAGTAAAATGGGATCTTCGCTTCTCTACATCCAACATACGAAACATAGAGATGCTAATTTACACTTGTATTCTTAGCGAGCGTGGTCTTTCCCGGTAAAGCAGACCTATTCACGCTGCAACCAGCTGCAACTGCAGCATGGCTGTACTAATGCTAGAGAATATTATGATAATTGTTTTATTTAAAAAAATAGCATTTCATAATGATTTCCTAATGAAACTGGAGTCGCTTCCCAAGTATAGCTAACGCTGTCTTAAGCATACGAGTAATTTTAAAGTTATGCATTAGAATAGATTTTAGTTCGTTGAAATAACTTTATTATAATTTATGGTGTGATTAAAAAAATTATTAATTTTTAATATTTTGTTCAATAATAAAAAACTCAATATGTAAGAATACTAAATGACGCTGAAAACCGCATCAATATCCATCAAGTAGTTCCAAA